TGGTGGTTTTCAGTTAATCTATGCATGGTTTATAATGAGCGACAATTTGTGTGATCATTATCTCAACCACATGTGTGGCATTTCAGTAAATATTGGATTGAAAACTATAAAAATTTCCTTAAAAAGGTAAGAATGAGCTCTCCCCCTTACTTATCTTTCTACTCCCACTGATACAGGATAAAAGAAAAAGTACAGACCAAAACCAGTGGTTTTAAAATAGCAACAAAACAATCAGGAAGGAAATCAGTGGCTGATAATGTAGTGATACATATTACCAAGAGTTCCCCAGGAAGATAACACAGATACAGTTTTTAACCTTGGGTAAGATAGTAGGCTTCTCTGTTTTAACAGCACATGCAAAAATTGAAGTACAGAGAAATAAATGGCTAGGCTTTCTTTTCATTTATTTTTCTCTCTTTGATTTAAAAAAAAATCAGAAAAGTCCAAAGTATAATATATAAATGCCATATGCAAGCCACAAAAAAGTGAGTGTTAACACTTTGCCATATTTGCTTCAGAATCTTTTTTTTTTTTTAAGAAAAATGAAGCATTTCAGATACATGTGAGTTCCCTTTGTTTTCCTTCCATCCCCTTCTTTCCAAAGCCATGACTCTGATGAAGTTATCATGAATCCTTCCTGTGTGTCTGTTCAGAGTTGTACTATATGTATAGATACATATAGATAGGCATATTGCTATATGCATATTACAGTATACACTCTTATAAAAGATACTATTGGGTGTTATTTTGTATATTTTGAAATGTTGACAAATGATATCATATACTTTAATCTGCAACCTGATTTTCTCAATCAACATTATGTTTTTGATGTTTATATCAACTAGATCTTAACACAAACAGATCTAGTTCATTCATTTTAAGTGTTTTGTACTTTTTTGTTGAATAAATGAACCACAATGAATCTATTCTTCTGATGATGGATATTTCTCTTATTTATAATTATTTACTGTTATAAGCTGTGCTACAGTGAATGCCCTTGAACTCATCTCCCTAGGCACATGTATCAGAGTTTCACTGGAATAATTTCCTAGAAGTGAAATTGCTGAGTCACAGGAAATATGCATTGTTGACTTTATTTTGTTGCCAAAATGTTCTCCAGTGTGACTGTGCCATTTTATATTCCCTTTCAGCAATGCTAGGACTAGCTTTGTAAAATGAATATACTTTCTACAGCTTTGAGGGGTTTCCATTACAAAATTTAACCCTTTTCCTACCAAGTGTCCTGTGTGCTTCTTTACATGCGTTTCCCCTACCTCCAGAGGGTCATTTGTTCAGCTTCTTTAGAAAAAACAGAGCAAATGTTAAAACTTTGGTGATTCATATTCTTTCAGAATAAAGTACACAGTTTCCAGCAAAACTATGCTTGATTCAAGGGTTCTTTCAAGGAATCATTTTCCTAAATTTAACTCTTACCTTTATTCTCACCATTTGAATGAATACAATTTCTGACCTTTTTGACATTTTCATCAGTCCTGAGGAGATTGTCTAAACACTTTATGCATGATTTTTGATATTTTCTGCTTATTTTAAATCTTTTGAGAGGTAATGAAAACAAAATAACTCTTGGTCTTGGCATTAATACATCTCCTTAGATTCCTTAATTTTTTTAGACCTATTAGGTATCTAGCTTAAAATTACATTTTAGCGTCACACAAATGTAGATGTTAATGCGGCTTCCAAGAACAACTTCCCAAATTGTTGCAGCTGCTCTAGACCGAGATCTGCTGAAACATTTCCCCACTCGTGGTTCCTTCTCTCCTAGAAGGAATAATGTTAGCCCATCTGGATACAGGGACAGTGTCCTTGTATAGTTCAGATACACGCAGAATTTTATTGCCCTCTTTAAAAAAAAATTTTTTTTAACTAAGCTCTTAGATGGAAGCAAACTTGAGCTAATGATGGAGAGTAATAATAATACTCAAATTAGGACCCAGAGCTTTTCTGAGAAGTCGTCTTTAGTTCCTCTTTAGCGTGCACATGTGGGTATCTTGGTTTTCCCAATTTTATTCTATTAGGAAAATGAACAGAAATAGGCATCACTGCCTTCTGGCCCATTGTTTCACTTTCAAGAAACACAGTTTACATGTTAACTCCTAACAGCAGAAGCCAGAAAGTGCTCCAGGATGGTCTTGAGCCAACTGCAAAGGCACGTGTTTTCGACCCACCTCCCTAAATAACGTAGGTTGGAGGTGCTGCCCGTATTAGCGTGATGGGCCCCCATGACGAAATTTCACATGCTGTGAATATATGTTGTTATGACTTGACATTTTATGACATTTATGAAGTTTTTATTTTGGGGGGGGTTGAAAAGCATATCATCAGATTCGTGTTTTGAAAGATCACTCTGGCTGTACTTTAGAGACTAGGTTGGAAGGGCCTGAAGAAGGCGCAGGAAGATCAGTTAAGGGACTTTTGTCTTCCTTCAGGCAAGAGAGGAAACTGGTTTCGGCAGGATGGTGATGGTGGAGAGGGAGAGATGTTTAGGAGGCAGATTCAGCTGGATCTGATGATAGCTGGGCTCTGGGGGGTTGAGGGAAAGAACAGTGTCAAGGTTGAATGAGCTTCCTCAACTCTGGCTGGATGCACACTTGTGCGATCCAACTAGGTACATGGGATTTTCATCAGTTTCATGTGAAATCGTGTGATATCGGTATCAGGCTGAAGCCAGGGAGGCTCAACCTCGTGCTATGCGCTCATTGTGTGATATTTGGGGAAAGCCTGACACATAGCCATCTACTTTCCTCAAGGCGAGAGGAGTTTCACCAGGTAGGCAAAAATTGTAGGATTCCTGTAATCACAATATACTTAGTTTAAAGAGACTATTGTTGAAACAGTGTGGGAGGAAACACTTTTTTTTTTTAACATCTTTATTGGAGTATAATTGTTTACAATGGTGTGTCAGTTTCTGCTTCATAACAAAATGAATCAGTTATACATATACATGACTGGATAAAGAAGGAAACACTTTTTTATACTCATTTTCAAGACTGACTGGCTAGTGTCTGGTGTTCAAATGAGCTAACGCTCAAGGCAACACCCACAACTACATATAAACGTTAGAGAGTTTTACTTGCTGTTGAGGACATTAGCTACAAGCACAAAGGAGAACTGCGCTTCTCCAAATGTGTCGTTATTTTCACTAGCAGCTGTCATGGGTGGTTTGTTCATGGGGGAAGGACAGGGCAGGGGGCTGGATCATCAACATTTTGGGCTCCATTATAGATAAACAGTGGCATTCAGAGAACTGATGGCTGTGTTCAGTGTTGCACGGGTTGTCAACAGCAGACTCAGGGTTGAGACTTTGAGCCTTTGAACCAGTTTCCTAAAACGAAAACAAAGACAACAACAACAAAATAAGTACAGTGTAGTCACCTAACCTAAATATGAAATCTGTCATTAGGTTGCTCGAAGAGCAGATGTATCCACTGCATGAAATGTTTCCATTCTCTGCCATCATCCCTGAGCTAGGAATTTAAAATCATTAATCTTAAATATAATATAATCCAGGAATCTCTTCGTTCTTCGCAGGCTACATTGATTATCAGCTGTAATCACTCTGGCCTGCTACCCAGTTATAACTTCCCCAACAATTGTATTGGTTAGATTGGTGTCTCTCTTCTGTTTCTGGGGGTTAGTGGAAAGATTGGGGGTGAAGACAAATGAGTTCAAGTAAAGCCAAAAAAAGAAAAAAATCAAGCTATTTTTAAATGACTGGTGATGATAAAAAGAACTGTCATCACTAAGCCCTTTGGCCTCCAGAATAGAAATACTGAGCTAAATTAATATGAATGACCCTACGAATTTTAGGGCCAAAATGTAACCAGTGAGGCTCTCTGTGAGACTTATCTCTGTGTCTATTTGGAAAGGAAAAGTGGAAAGTCTGATTAGCAAAGGTAAAAAATATTTTCTCAGGATGCTCTGGGGAACAGAATCTTACTGCTGATTTTATTTGAAAAGGTCCAGTTTTGCCATGGTCCTTCTGAGAACTGTACCCCTTGCTTCCTGGCTGCCCCTAGGGCTGAGGATGACCTTTGAGAATTGCTGTACATACATAACCCCGGATCTCCCACTCCTCTAGATACCACAGCCTTCAAGGTACCCAGGGCTGACCTGGTTTCTGGAAGTGAGAGCCGATTGTCTCTGCTGTCAGCACTGACTCCGCATGTCCTAGGCTGGCCAGTTGTTTCGCAGAAGACTTTTTGTCCCACACTTATTGCCTGGTTTGAAGCAGATTTCATTTCCTTGAATGTGTTTGAAAGAAAATCTGCTTGAGGTGGCCTAAGGCAATAATTATTAGACCAACCTTAGTTAAGACATTAAAAATCCATAGGAAACAGTTATTATTATTTTTTCTTTCCCTTTGTGAGGGTCTCTCTTTTTTCATGACTCCTCTCCTAATAGTTTCAGGTCCTGACAGCTGAAGCCCTACATCTTCTGCGAGGTGAGAGTCCGTTTATTTCATCTGAATCAGAGTCTGCTTTATCAGTGTGATACAGCTCCATAACGCTCCAACCTCTGCTAGGTGTCACCCAGCTTGTTAAGCAGACGGTCCCTGCCTCCCGAATGCCTTCGAGCAGTTATGTGTTTGAGAGGAGGGCCTCTCATGTGGATGTTCCAGCCATATCAGCGTGGCCTCGCCTCTCAGCTTGCTTTGTTTACCCAGCAGCTCATTACTTAAGAGTAGCCTGTCAAAGAGGTTAAATATTCTTTGGGAAACATGGTCACTCACATCCTTGAGATGCCACAAATATATTTAATAAAGGGAAGATTGGCTTGATAAGAAAAACGTGATTAACTTGCATCACCAGAAAATGTTTTTCTTCTGTTATTCCAGTTGAGTTTCCACAAGCATTCATAAGCACTAGCAAACCTACGGGCAATAAATTGCTGCAGCCGACACATAAAGACACCAAGGGAAGCAGGGAAAATGATTGCTGATGATTCGTTCTAACTACTTGACCTTCTGACCTCTTCTCTAGATATATGACCAAGATGGGACACTACAGCACTTTATTGATGGTGGGGAACCTAGTAAGTCGAGCTGGATGAGGTATATCCGATGTGCAAGGCACTGCGGAGAACAGAATCTAACAGTAGTTCAGTACAGGTAAAGTATACCTTGATTTACCGCTTACAAAGCCGAAGCCCTTTGCCTTGCATATATAAATTCAGGCTTGCTGCTAGTTTTGAAAAACTCCTGCAGAGTCCTGAAGAACTCTGCAAGGACTGGCAGGAATTTTTTTTGCTAGGTTTGTGATATCTCCTTAGTTCTTTTAACAGTAATTTCTTGAGAATTCGGGAAGAAAGATGCTAGGAGAAGGCCTTTTTTCACTCACTGCATGTGATAAAGTTACTTCCACATCATCACCTGAACTTTCATAATGGCCTGAGTGAGCCCAGCGAACTCACTGACTCGGAGTGATTTCCCCCGCAGCAGACGTGTCCACACGTAAACAGGAGTTTAGAGATTCAGCCCCAGGTTGCTTGCCTTCAGTCCCCTTCGGTCTGGCTGTCTCCTAGGGAGAACAGTTTGATTTGTACAAAGGCATGGGAAATCAAGAACTCTCAACACTCCCAAAGCTGCTTTTCTAAAACCGTTATGCTCGGCAGCCTTGGCTGAGTCAGAGCAACCTCTTCTGATCCCTTGAAAGGTGCCAAAGCGTTTGGCTTTGGTCCTGCGACAATTCAGAGTACGTTTCAGGGGATGAGGTAGTTCCGGAGCATAGAGAAGGCCCTGGTCTCCTGAGATGTTTGGGCAAAGCCCAAACGGTAACAAAGATGAGGTGAGCCATCCCCATTGCCCAGAGTCTCATAGGGAGGCCTGGGGTGGGGTAGGGGCATAGAAGCAGGGTGGATTCCCAGAGCCTAAGCCACACCTGCCCAGTGCACCTGTTGGTCAGGCATTTCCATTTAATGCTAAAAGCTGGAGTGGAGACAAAAAGGCAAAGACAGATCCCATAGGAAAAAAGCCCTGCCACTAAGCCTTCTTTTCTCAGAATCCCTCGAAAACATGTGCCCTGTAAATATATGACCTCAGTTATAAACAGCCCTGTTCCCTTTCGGATCAGAAGCAACTGTTTAGCTTTACCAGGCACCACAGACACATCAAAGCAGAAGAGCCCTTGCTCGGCAACTTGGAGTCCTGCCTATGATGATTTATTTTCATTCTCATTTTTTTTTTTTTCTAAATGAAGACTTAAAAAAAAAAAAGCTTTATTCCCCTTATAGGTTAAAGGCTGCACAAATCTGGCTTGCTCTCCAAAGACCTCCAAATTCAAAAGGAACATATCTGGGCAGCATGTGACTCACTGCCTTGGTTTCCTAGGCAGTTATCTTTCATTACATAAGGGTTTAAACGAACTTGTGTACGACGGGATCTGGTTACAGTCTGTATATGGGCTTCACCCACCTTCCCTGCAGCTGCATCTCTGTCATAAAGTTTTTATAAAACTCGGAGCTAGAAAATTAGTAAAGGTTGTGCTTCTCCATTTGGCAAGAGATAGATTGGCTGGTTCTGTCATGGGCACCCAGGGAGCTCTTGAGGCAAATTCTGACTTTGGGAAAATAAGAAACCCCTACGAGGAAGGTGGGTATGAGCAAGTCATTACCTTTCTGTCGATATTAAGTGGGTTTTATTGCTCCCTTTCCTGATGGCACTTACACATCAAGTTCTCTCTGCCGATCTGTTTTCGATTACTTCAGATCTTTATAAAATGAACTACAAAAACACAATTTAAAAACTGGCATCCGTCACCAGTGACCACGTCCAAGAGTAAGAAAATAGAAAAGTTGGACCCTGAAGAGCTAGCCTAATTTTTATTGTACATGAATGTCCTCTTCACAAAAAGTCAGCTGGTTTAGATTCATTCTGTTATGATTTGTAATATCTAAATGGAATTTTCTTCAAAGAACCCTTGATTGATTGACCCTTAGCTGAACGTTTTGTTTTTATTTTGAGGCTGACAATAATGTTTGTTGGCGTGTGTTCTGCTTCAGCTGCGTTGGGACGCCATGAAGCTATCTTTATGAGTCATCCAACCACAATACTAAATACATGTCAGCAAAGGAAATATTATCTGAAAAGGGAAAAATCCCTTTGATGTGCTTCAACATGCAGAGATTTCTGCGAGTTTTGGAAGCTCTGCCCGCTTGTAAAGAACGGTGTACGCTTACACATTTTTTCCCCCTTTCGGCCTACTCTGTGCCTCAAAAGACCACCCATTGCTCGAAAACAGTTCTGCTCTTTCAGCGGCAAAGTGTGTCATTTGGTTTTAGCACATTCATTTGCCGGGCGCTGTGTTTATATTAAGGGAAGCCAAACCGAGAGATGAAATGTTACAAGGGTGAAGTACAAAGTCGACTCAATTTTTCTCAAGTTAGGAGATGCCAGTGATTTATAGCCCGGCTCCAATTTTGATTTTTTTATGTAGCAGTGGAAAGAATTAATAAAATGCACAGCTCTTGGAGGTGCGGAGGGAGGAAGGGGAGTGAGGTCCGGACAGCTGGCTGGAGTTTTTGTCAGATATTCATAGAATGTTGGGAAAAAACACTCTGCTTAGCTAGCAGTGCCCTCGTGAGACAGAATGGCAGCAAGTAAGGAAAATAACAAGATAAATGAAATTTTTGCAGCTGCAAGTAAAATATTGAGAATCTGCACTTTTTTTTATTGATCTTTATGATCCTATTGCCAAGAGCCACTTTGTGGTGACAAAATATGTTGACAAGTGCATATCTCACTGCCATGAAAAATGTGGTGAAGGCTTCACATTATGTCTGCAGTGTTATACAAGGAACAAATTGCCCTGCTACGGCCAATTCCTTACAGAAAGGCTAAACTTAAGGTCCACCAACCCTAAACACTTTTATCTTGAACTTGAGGCTAATATTTGTAGCAGTTCTTCATTGAGAAAACCCGTCGCAGGCTCCTCTTTCTTTTAATCTGTAGATTTTTCTTTACAGTGCCACAGCTGTTATTAAAAAAATGGTTATTTCTTGGTACCTTCACTCCATCATTTCAGAGTGTAATCTTTCAGCCAGAGTGCTCCTCTTGTATTTACTGAATTTCCATCCATTTCACATAAGAGGGTTTTTCTCTTCTCCTGTATCAAACTTTAGAAAAAAGGCAATGGGGAAGACTTTTATTTCTTTCAGTCCTTATATCACAAAGCTGCTTAATTTTATTACAAATTAGAGAACTCCCAATGCCAAGTTGTAAGAATATACGCAACACTTTCCCTTCAAATAAGAAATCAATAGTATTAATTTATATGTGAGGTTGAGGCACCGGAGTCTGCAATTTGCCAATAGAGAGAATCTTCTCATTAGTATGAGATGGAATTTTTTTTTTTTTTTAATGAACGCTTCCTTTCTGCTGTCTCTCGGGCCAAATATCTTGTCTCTTCAGCCAAGAGGTTCTGTGGAGGGACACTGTGGAAATAAACTGTGAGCTATTTATCATACCAGGTTACAGGCTCTAATTGGTTGTTGGGAATGATAAGGTGGGTGCAGATTTTATTACAAACAGAAACTGTTTAGGTGGAAAGCTGGGCAGAACTTTTTCGGGGCAATAAAAGTGTGGATGGGGCACATGAGTCCTACCGATTACTAAGCTGGGTTTTCTTTTGTTTTGAATAGGTCGAATATATTCTACCGAGCCTGTATAGATATTCCCAGGGGTACCGAGCTTCTGGTGTGGTACAATGACAGCTATACGTCTTTCTTTGGGATCCCTTTACAATGCATTGCCCAGGATGAAAACTGTAAGAATTTATTTTAGCTCTGAATTCACATTTCCAAATACCTATTTCAAAGCTAACTTTTTAAGAGTGTTGTTTGAAACTCCTGAAATGCGGTTCACTCTGCTGTGTAACACAAATGTGCACGTCTGTTCCATCATTTTCTTTTCCTTGTATGTCCTTTGCTTTTTCACAGGGAGTCTTGACTTGTACAGGCCAATTTTTCTTCGCCTGCTTATGATTTTAAAACCTTTGTCCTTTGTCCTGGTTTTAAATCATTGCCAGCAGAAATGTTAAGGCAGTTGGTATTTACTGAGCACCTACTATGTGTCTGTTTACAAGAGCAGCATAAGATACAACTTCTCCTCTGAAGGGGTGCACAGTCTTGCTGGAGTCGCATTATTTGCAAAAATGAAATAATGAGAAAACACTGTTGTTTAATCAGGAGTAACACCCCTCCAGTCGATTGGTTTTGCTTCCTCTTAAGTAGTCATTGGAATGAGAAATGGTAGGAAAAATCATAGACGTATGGTTGAGGAATTTGTCTCTCTCTAAGCAACTTAGTCTAAAGTGAACCATGTAATTTTCTTCTATCTTTCTTACCATGGCAATCATTATGTTTAAAAAATAATCTAATGTCTAGGCAGATGCAAACTTTTGCAGCAATTTTCACCTAAACTTTATATATTTGTTTTTATCAATTCTTTGGGAAAATGTTATGAAGTGATTTCCAGTATTTGGAACAGAATTAAGTGATTCTGATGTGCTTCAGTGAGAAACACTGGTTTTAATGACACTGTTTTTCTTGTCATCAAATTGACTAATCTGTGAACTGATAATTTGGAATTATACAGTAGAAAAAGACGCAGAGAGAACAGATCTATTTAAGAAACTTCATTTTGGAAAAAAAATGTGTTATTTTAATTTTTCCTTCTCTACTTACTTTCTCTCACACACATATAAACTCCAAAAAAATGTTTGTAATACTACTGATTGAAATGCTGATCAGGTATTTCTTTTCCATGTTATCTTTATTTTCTTTGTAAAAATTAGAATCCTCAAAAAAGCATATTACTCTCAACTTTCCTTTTCCACTTTACCCTAACCCCAAACCAATCTCAAATCAAAAAATGAATCTCTGGACATGTAAGTACATTCTTCTTACTTCCCAAGTTTCCATTGGAAAGTTTCTTTTCTGCAGTCCTACTCCTGTTTGAGGGAGTGTCTGTTCATAGGAGAAAATCTCAGTGTTGGACATGAGTGTGTGGTTGGTATTACAGGCAGAAATGGCCATGGCGGCCAGTGTGCTTTGTCTTCCCACAATGGCTCCATGCCCAGCTCCCCTAAAACTAGATGTAGATCCACACACGGAAAAGCACCAGTATCAACTCCCCTGATCTGCTGACATGGGCCTGTCTATACATTAGAACCTTGGTGTCACTTCGCCTTCTAAAGGATGGAATCTGATCCAAAAAGATTCCAGAAATCTTATAAGGCCTTCTGTTTCCTCCTTTAGTACAGCCTGCTCCAGACTCTGGAAATATTGTGGTATGTGTGTCAAGGGATGTCTGGGAGTAAACGTATCAAAGTCTAGAGTTGTAAAGTACATGGCACACAGTCCAAAAATAAATTCATTCATTCATTCATTCATTCATTGATATTTGTTGAATACTTACTAAGGACCAGCATCATTGCTGGGTGCTACAAACATAGCAGTGAACAAAACAGACAAGAATTCCTGCCCTCCTAGAGCATAGAGTCTAGTAGAGGGAGACAGATTATCAACCTGTATATGAGTAAATAAATAGTTTGTCAGGTGATGATAAGTGTCATAGAGTTAACAAAGCAGAGAAGGGGTGAGGAGTGCCAGGAGTTGGGAGTTGCAATTTTAGAGATGATCGGGGTGGGCCCTACTAGGAAGGTGGCCTTTGGGCAAAGACTTAAGGAGATGAAGGAACAAGCCATGTGTTCTTTGGGAGCAGAGTGTTGCAGGCAGCTGGACTCAAAGTGTAAAGACCCAAGATGGAAATGCTACTGGCCTGTCAGAAGAGCATCACAAAGATTGACATCGGTGTGTCAGTTGGAGTGTATTGGTTGAAGTGGGGAGGGGTTACCTTAGATTTGGGGGAAGGGATCTTGTAGGGCCCAGGAGGTCACTGTCAGGACCCTGGCTTTTACTCTGTGTGCCTTGGACAAAGCGGGTATTGCAGAGTTTTGAGCAGAAGAGTGATGTGATCTGACTGAAGTTGTAACAGGATTACTCTGGCCACTGAGTGGGGACCTGACAGTGAGGGTGAGGATGGAGCAGGACCCAGTTAGAGGCTCTTGCTGGAATCCAGTGGGGGGAGGTAATGGTGGTTTGGACCAGTGTAAAAGCGGTGGAGGTGGTGAGAAGTGGTTGGATTCTTGATATATTTTGAAAGTAAAGTCAACAGCATTTGCTGACACATTGGATGCTGAGTGAGAGAAAGGAGTCAAAGATAACTCCAGGACTTTGGTCTGAGGAGCTGGATGGATGGAATGGCCATTTACTGAGTTATGAGTCAGACATGGGAACTGTGGAATGACTGCTCAGGGAATGTGTTTCTTCCCCTTGACGTGGATCTCTGGGGTGGAAGTCTCAGATCTACGACATTGCTTCCACCTCGTGATGCTGTTACCTGGACGAGACGGATTTAGGGGCTGAGCTGGAGGATTGGGGGTTGTATGTGCCATTCACAGCCACCTGACGATGGTGTCTAAGAGTGTACCAGCTGGTCTCCAGTTTCAGTGTGATAGTGCCATCAAAAATGTACTTTGTGGCAACACCAAGTGCTTTGCTTCTGAGGCCTTCTTTCTCCCACTGTCCAACCTGTGTGAAGCATTCTTGAGGTTGCTGATTAGAGTATTGAATACACTCTCCCGGGGCACATGTTGTGTATCGTTTAGCACCTGAAATCCTTGGAAGAAAATTCACAAAGCTAACGCACCTCGAAGTATTGTGGATTCAGTAGGTAAACTATGCAGCTCTTTTAGGTTGAGTTCAGAGCTCTAAGCAAGGGTGGAGGGAAGTTTAAAGGGAATTAAGTCATTGACTAAAATGCTCGGCAGTGACCATCTCCCTCCCCCCTAAGGGTATTACAGGAATTTTATTTCAGTTCTTGTCTCAAAGTCATATATCTGTCATGAGATTGGCCACCCAGGAAACCAGCAGAAAGCTTCATCAGATGGCGTGGGGGGAGGTATATGACTTTGACTCTAACCCGAAGATGGATTGTCATTCCATATGATTCACGGAGAGACCTAGGGATGCTTTATAATGAGGGATCCTTATTCTGTACTGAGAAAATACTCTGTGTGATTTAAAAGCACAAATGTGTGAAAGGGCATGGACAGATAATTTAACAGATAGCCTTCTGCAACCCTGAGTAATTGAAATCATCTCAGTGGGATTAGCAGTTTGAAGACAATTTTTATCCTACCGAGTTAGCCACAAAATAAATTAGGTACCCTAAAAAGAAGCTTCTTGAGATCAAAGACTTATTTGACAAAATGCTTCCACAGAGCCTCCTTATAGTGCTATGCACACAGTAAACAATTAATACATGCTCACTGGATACATATTGAGAATTTTGTTGCCATTACTAGAAGGGGTACATAGTTCAGCTAGATTTTTTTCTTGGTTAATGAAATTGATACATGGTCCAAGACATTCAAGGAAAATATGATTTTACTTAGTGAATAATACTTATTAAGCGCTTTCATTTATAAAAATATCATTTTCTTCTCATGGTTCTTTCAACAGCGAAAGTACACATTTCCTATTGAGCATGTGGGCGGGTTCAGGCTTCAGTCACTGGCCCCTCTGGCAGCGGCCACGAAGCAGTGGGACACGCTCACTGCCTGGAGGAGCCATTGAAAGCAGCCTTGCCTCAAAGAGAAGGCAGCGTTTCACACAGGCACTTGGGTTCTGGAAGCAATTCCTATGTTATTTTCTTAAAAAAAAAAGAAAAAAACAACCCATAGTTATAAGTGTAATAGAGCTCCAAAGAGAGTGCAGCTCTGTCCACTGTGGGCCTTTCAGAAGAGCCTGAAGGAACGCCTGTGTCGACAGATTGTATCCGCAAGAAGGAATGAGGTTCCCCAAAGCTTCCAGTGGGGGATTAGCTCCTGCAGAGTGTAAAGACCATAGTGTATTCATATTCATTTCAGAGGAAATTGAAAAAAGAAACCTGGGAATAAATGTTAAACACGTCTTCCTGCTGCTTTTTCTGTCTTGGCATGTGAAGCTGAGGTAGCAGAATGTGACACTTGATGGCAGCGCAGAGGTTCGCTGCACTGGAGTAAACTCTGCCCGCAAGAGGCCTGCCTTTTTCCTTTGATTTTAATGAGCAGAAAATAAAAATTGGCACCTCTGCACGGCGCACTGACCCCACCATCCCACCAACAATAAGGAACTAGGCCCCGGATAGAAAGGCCCCGCTCAAGCCTTCTACCTATGAACATTGAGGCGATTACAGTATAATTCAGTCCAATGAGAACATCTGTGTGCAAGGCCCTGTGGGAAGCATTGTGATGGGGTACAAAACCTCAGACCCCGTCCTCAAGGAACTCCGTGTAGGAGAAGGCACGTAGCAAAAACTACAACAGCAAACCTAACGCAGGTGCCATGTGAGATGGCCATAGCAGCGAGCCTGGGCTAGGTGGGTGTTAGGCTCAGTCTTACTGCAGTTGGGAGGGGCCCGGTTCTAGGCTCCTTGTGCACAGTGAGCAGCTGGGACTGAATCCTCACATAAATCCAAGAACCAGAAGTCACTGTTTCGTCCCTTAACGGGACTAGAAAAGTGCTACCCTCAAGCCAATAGGCCATTGGTGAAAAAAACAGTATGTCATGCTCCAAAAAACCAGCCCCAGCTATGGGAGGATACAGGGTTGGATTTTGCCTTACCTGCCAGTTGTGGAAACCCTGGGCCAAGAAGTAGTATAAAACTTGGCTCAGAACTGAAGGAACCTGTAGGGTCCTAGAACAAACAGAGGAGAAGTCA